GGAGATGGAGTGGCAGGTGGGGGCTGTGCAAGATTCCTGAGCATCCCTGAGAAGCTCTCCTCAGCCCAGGAAGACCCCCAAGGCCAGTGTCCTGAGGTGGGTGAGGAAGGTGGGTGTGGCCTTCAGGGGGGATGATCCAGCCGAGATGGCATTTAGTGTGGTGGTCCGAGGGAGCCCCTGACCCACTGCCCACTTCTAGTAGAACTGGTGATCCGGTTTACTACAGGTCACCGAGGGTGGATGAGTGGAGACTCTAGGTGTCTACACTGAAATGACAAAACTCATTGCTCTGGTTAAGTGTGGCTCCTCAGTGGTTCTTGGGCTTTGTCAGTATCCAGTTTATATTTGACACCACCGTTGTCACTGACTTCACCACTATATCCAAGGCAACATAGCTGCTTCTTGCTTGTCAGTTGATTTTCTCTGGGTGCAATATCTGGATTTCATGGCAGTCATTAACAGTACTGTGGCTCATTTCTGAAGAGCCAGGCACTGAACCAAAGAGGCTACAAACCCCAACACAAAAATCAAACCAAGAGGCCAGGTGTGGTGATGTACACCTGTAATCCCAGCGCTCCAGTGGCTACGTTGGAGGATCACTGCAAGTTCAAAACCAGACTGGGCCATACAGTGAGCCTATGGCCAACCTAAACTATATAGAGAGACCTTGTCTCAAAAAGTAAATAAATAAATAAATAAATAAATAAATAAATAAATAACACACACACACAAATTAGAAATATGAGAAGACAAAGCAACAAAATGCATCTCCGAACTCTGTCAAAGTCAATCTAAGGGGCATTGGTGGGGAAGAAGTCATCCATCCAGGGCTAGAAACCCAAAGCTACATGGGACAGAAGCATGAAATGGAGTCAATGGCAGTGAAACAACTCAAAGAGGTCACTGGCAAACTCAAAGAAGACGTAACTAACCAGCTCATGCCCACAGTGACACAAGTGATCAGCAAGTCCAGAGAAAACAATAAAAATCTAGCAGAGCTAAAGAAGTAATGCAAACATGAACTCCCACCATAGAAAAGAATGGGAGTCCATATAAAGCTTCCAGACAGAAGTCCAGGGATTCAAAGCAGGAGTGAAAGTAGGAGGTGCAGAAGCAACCAATGAGAGGGCAGAGTGTCCACGTAATGACCAATCAAGAGACAGGCACGCCTTGAAAACAAGGGATCATGAAAAATGAGTACAACAGCTGCTAGATGACTCAAAGAAGATGAGGGATTAGTGGGAAACTTTGGACAGCACAGCAGGGCATAAAAGACCTGTTTACAGAAGGTAGAGCAGAAGCCTTCCCAGACCTGGAAACATAATTCAACATAGAAATAAGGGAGGCAAATAGAACCCTAAATAGCTATGATCAGAAAAGATTACTACACCCGACACAGTAATTATACCAGAAATCCAACACAAGATCCTGACATGCTCCCATGGGTGTGCACCACTGGGGGAAACACATGACTGTTCCACTGAGTGACCTGAGCCACCAGGAGTGCACGCAAGACTGTCCCCTTAGGCAGCTTGTCTCACTGATGATGTGACAGATCTTGTCACCTTAGTCTTTCTACAGAGAAGACTCATGAGAGGACTATAAATGAACCGAATCTAGTTAGTTGCTTGAATTTGAATAATTACTGCCCAAATATAAATATGGTGTATGTAATATGCATTTACAACTGCGGTACCACAGATTACCTGGATTATAATTTTTACATCATTTTAATGTTTCCTTTGAGGAGCTGCAATATGATAACACTTGGTCTTCTAAGTAAATTCTTTTATTTATATTATTGTAATAAGACAAGATCAGGCCTTACGTTTCCTGTGCTTTGAGCCATCCAATGGGACAGTCATGCCTGTAGTGCAGTGGTTCAAGCCAGTAAGACAACCAAACTCAAATCAGAGGTGTGTGAGAAGTGAGTGATATGAATTACACCCCCTTCATTGTTGTATTACAAACTATGGGAGAAAAGCAACAAACCATCTAAAAAGGAAAATATACCAGAAATACAATGGACTGCTCAAATAAACCTTAAAGACAAGGAGATCTTGAGGTGAACTATTTTAAGCCCCTAAAAGAAAACAACTGCCAACCCAGACTTATATGTCTTGAAAAATTAGCTTTCAAAAATTGATGGAGAAATAAAATGTTTCCATGATTAAAAGGCACCTAAGGAAATTCACCACCACAAAATCAGTGCTCCCAAAATATCTCAAGGATATCCTAGAAAGAGACAAGGAAATTAACCATACCAAAAGGCCTACTATGTTAATGCATCATGTAAGTTAGCAATTAAGTAGGAGGAGAGGAAAACCAAATGGTAACAGGAAAATACTACAATGACAGAAATAAATCAATACCTATCAATATAACCATCAATGAGAATAGAGTGAATTAGCCAATGACACAGATTAGTGGGATGGATCAAGAAACAAATCCAATGTTAGCCTGTGTAAAAGAAACGCATTTAACACAGAAAGAAATTTATATACTAAAAATAAAAGGCTAGAAGACAGCATTCCATGGAGTGGGGACCTGAAAAACAGCAGGAGAAGCAATCCTATTTTCAGACAAAGTGGAATTTTAAGCTAAAGCTGAACAAAAGAAACAAAGAGGGATATTACATATAGCTAACAGAGTTATTCAACAGGAAGAGATAACAGTTATAAGCATATCTACACCAAACTAAGGTGCACCCAGCTTCATAAAACAAACATTAATAGATGTGAAAGATCAGACAAGGGCTGGCCAGATATCTCAGTGGATTAAAGCACCTGCTTAGGCAGATGCAGGGACCGGGGTTCTATCCCTGGCACCACATGCCATGCCGGCCCCACCCCTGGAGTGCACTGAGAGGGCGATTGAGACTGGGCGTGGTGGCGCATGCCTGTAATCCCAGAGCTTGGGAGGCTGAAAACAGGAGGATCATTATGAGTCTGATCTGTGCAGTGGGACCCTGTAGACCCTGTACTAAATACATAAAAACGATCAGACAAACCTAAGTACAATTATGGTGGGAGAAGCTACTATCACAAATAGATCAACTTAACAAAAAATCAACAAAAGAATATAAGAGTTGAACCAAACCTTTGAACAAATAGGCTTAATAGTCACATCCACTGTTCTGCCCAACAAGAATAAAATACATCCTTTTTTCAGTAGTGCATGGAACTTTCTCCAGAATTGACTACATAAAGTTAATAAAGCATACTTAAGCAAATGCAAATCAAAATTATCCATGCATATTATCATATCACAGTGTAAGGAAACTAGAAATGAACAGCAAAAGAAACTGCACAAGCCATGCAAACATGTGGAAGTTGACAGATTCTTGCATTATCTGTGGGCCACAGTGGAAGCAAAGGAAGAAGTGAGAGAGTTCCTAGAATTCAATGATAACACCAGCACAATATATCAGAGCTTACGGGGCACAGCGAGAGATCACCCATAAGGGAGATTGCCATTGAGAATGCTCACATCAGCAGAACAGAGTGAGCCCAAATAAATAACTAGTGATGCACGTCAGTGTTCTAAAAAAGTGAGAACAACCTAAATCCAAAGCTTGGACAAGGAAGGAAATTGTAAAGATCAGAGAAGATATCAGTGAAAGGGAGACAAAAAAGCAAAGAAACAATGAATGGAAGAGCTTATTCTTTGAAAGAATAAACAAAATGGACAAATCCTTAGCCAAAAATAAAATAATTAATTAATTAAATAAACAAATACATAAATACATAAGAAGGGAAAATACAAGTCAGTGCAACTAGAAATGTAAAAGGTGAAGTCACAGTGCACACTGCCAAAATCTAGAAAGTTATTAGCAACTATTTCACAAACCTATATGCCAAGAAATTAGAGAACTTGAAGAAATGGAGAGCTTCCTAGACAAAGGCAATTACCAAAACTGAACCACAAACACTTAAAAGTCTTAAATAATCCAAAACAAGCAATAAAATTAAAGCAGTAATTTAAAAGCTATCAACCAAGAAAAGCTTGGTGGACTGACTGCCAAATTCCACAAAAATTTCAAGGAATATCTAACACCAATACTTCTCAAAGCAATGAAATCCAGAAAGAAGGAATATTCCAAAAATCATTCTTGGAAGCTACCAATACCCTAATCCCAAAGCCAGACAAGGGTCCAACCAAAAAAAAGAGAACTATAGGAAATCTCTCTCACAAACATAGATGCATAAAATCCTCAGTAATATGCTGGCAGACAGAATGTAGCAAATCACAGAAGAAAACTTACACCACAACCAAGGGGCTTTACCCCATGGACACAGCATACCCGAATCAATAAATGTTGTCCATCACATAAACAGAAGGAAGGAAAAGCCATATGATCCTTTCAATAGACACAAAAAAGCCTTTGACAAAATACAACATCTATTCATGATAAAAACCCTGAAGAAAACAGGTACAGAAGAACCTTGTCTTAACCTGAGAGAGCCATTTATTACAAACCTGCCAACATTGTAGTAAGTGGGGAGAAATAAAAAGCTTTTTCTCTAAAATCAGGAACAAGACAAGGATGTCCATTATTTCCACTCCTGTTCAACATAGTCCTTGAAACATAGCCAGAACAATCACACAGGAGAAAGGAAGAGAAAGGATCCACACACATAGGAAAGGATGAAGTCAACGCGTTATCTGCAGCTGACATAATCTGCAGCAGGATGCAGGCAGGCGAATGGAGGCCCATGCGTTCACCACTGGGCGCATCATGGGAAGGGCCCCGAGCTGAGGGTCGTGCCCAGCACAAGAAGTGCAATGTCCAGGGCTGTATGACATAGGAAGGTGACTTCGAGGTCACACGCTCAAGTGTTGACAGGCATTGTTCATGGGGCAGGAAGGAGGAGTGGAAGGAAGCCAAGGGCAATTGTCGCCGGATTGTGTTACTCTTCTGAGGGGACCAGCGGCCATGTGTGTACTGCCTGTCTAGTTAGAACAGCCACTCCCAGGTGAGCTCATCAAAAACATCTGACCTTCTGGCGAAGCCGGTTTAGTCCCGTTTCCTTTGTCCACGACCTTGCCTCTGGGCTTCGTGGGATCCTTCTTTTTTTCTAAATCTTTAACTGAAAAAAAAAAAAAAAAAGGGTAGACATACAGCAGCGTGTTACATCATTGTCTAAAAGGAAACACCCAGTGAGTTGCTCTAAAATCCTTTCAAGTTCTTATTAAAGTATCAGTAGAAATTAGCTCTCTGATGCAAACTCATCCCCAAATGTTAGAACTGCTACTTTTTTAGTTTCTTGGTCTCCGTGTGTAGTACGGGATCAGTCCTTGGGAGGCAGAGGCGCCTGTTCCTTTTTCCATCCCCTCTCCTCCCTCATCCCTTGAGCCCTTTCTTTTAACTGCTATTTTTATTTTTTCAACAAAGTTGGCAAGCTCTTCTTAATGATTTTGGTTGTGTATTCACTCTGGACAGATGTATCAAATAAATTTAATCCTTCAGAATGGCTGCAAGATTGCACTGGCGAGCCCATCTGGTGCACAAGGGAATGAAACGCCGGAAGCAGGAACACATCTCGCAAAGCCAGGAAGTGCTGGCCGAGGACTGAAGCCACATCTTCGTGCCTCTGAACACGGCATATGCGCTTAGTCCCTGTTCTAGAAAGATACAAACCACCAAGATCCTCATTTGGAGTCGCCCTATCTCTAACAGCAAGGAGGAACCCTGTAAATTTCCTTTCAAACTTGAAAAAGGTTTCTCTGTTAATTCATGGGCATCTTGCCCACTTTAATAAGAAAATATTCGGAGACCAGAAAGAGCCCGGGCCGCCTCCCAACTCATCCCAGCGGACGCATTAGGTCTGCTTTGCGGAGCTCTGCGCTCGGAACCCTGCGCTCGGAACCCCGCGGCAGCCTCCCGGCAGCACCGGCAGCTTGAGCTCCTTGGCGCCCACCAGAGCAGGGCCAAGCGGCAGGCTGCTGCGCAAATGCGACGTCCGTCCCGTGAGAGCACAGAAGCAAGCCAGTGGCCATCAGTAATCAATCCTAACCTTCTCCTAGTTATATTCGATTCACGGGGATCACAGAGTTCATCGCGGGAAGAGCTGTGTAGGAGAAGTACCGGCTCTCTTGCTGTCTGCTCTTTCCTGGCTTTGCCTCTCTTTGCCAAAAGGGTTTGATGCTCAAGCTTGCCAAGGGCATAGCACGCTTAATTCTATTATTCCTGTACCAAACAATCTTCCTATGTATTCTGGTACCCAGGGATTAAATTCCAAGCCCTAATAGCAACAACACCAGCAGGACCCCTCTGGGCCCACTGGCCTAACTTGTTACATGTTCTTTAGCTTCCCTATAAACACTTTCAATCTCTTTTATTTTCAAAGAGGGTCTTACTACATACAAGCTGACCTTGAACTCACTATGTAACCCAGGCTAGCCTCAAACATACAGTGATCCTCCTGCCTCAGCCTCCTTAGTGCTGGGATTGTAAGAGTGCAACTATCATGCCCAGCTTTGGAGCACCCACTTTCTAAAAAGTGTTCTCAGTTTTTACAAAGATATCACCCCCTTTTCCGCCATTCCTCTAAACCTCCTTTATATTCTCATTTTTTGATCCCTTTTCTACTTCCACTCCTGAAATATGACCATACACTAAAGCGGTCGTACAGTTCCAGTGCCTGGCCTGCACCTCCATCACCTTGCATGCTAGGTTCTCACCCCCCAGGGATACCTTCCACCGTGGTGGCTTTAACCCCACACATTCAGGCATGGGCTGGGCACACAGCCATGTCACACAAAGCTCCAAGAGGGGCAGATTCAGTTAGAAACACTGCCACAGACATCATGACCTTGACTGCAGCAGTGCAGATGCACCTGCCTCTCGGCTGTCACAGCAGTCCGCATGGCACTCGCCACAGGCCATCAGGAAAGGCTGGGGCTGCTTGGCGTGGGTGCTGACTCATCCCAAGCAGGTCCGACCTGGGGCTATGGCTTGTGGCTGTCCCCCAATGCCTCGTGGGCTCACAGGTGGGGCTTGGAGGGTGACTGGGTCACAGATGTGTGACAGTAGCTTAGTCCACTGTTGGGCTTGGGGCTGGACATGATGTTGGGAGGAAGCAGTGGACCACAGTGGGCCAGGCCTGGAAGCATGTGTGCGATGACGGGTGGCTCGCTGCTCCCTGCCTGCCCTGCCTCAGGCTGTTCTCCCCAGCTACGCCACTCTGCCTTGGATGCCGACTATAAGCTGAAATTTCTACAAACTGTGAGCCAAAAAGAAAAAAACCTCCTACATCTTCATTGTCCTGGATCCAACAATGAAAATTTTCCAGGCCAGCAAGACTAGTTTTAAGCACCACCTCACAGAAGCAAGAATACAACTGAAATGCAGAGGGAAAAGGAAAGAAAGCCACACACGCAGTGATTTTCATTCTGTTCTTAGAGACTGTTATCTGAGTAGAACTCACCCTCTACTCTGCCAATAAAAACAACATGGCTTAGGAAAATGAGATGCCTTTATCTAACTTACCTCACTAACCCACTAGATAGTTCTCCTCATTCTCCCAGGGAGCTAAGCAAGCCGAGCACAAACAAATTCTTTTTCAAGTGCCTTGAACAGCTACTAGGAAAGGGTTTTTGTTGGCCTACAGTTCCTCTGCTGTTCAGTTGGCAGAAAACTTGAAATAATCAATCATAAAATGTTCAAGCTTCAGTGAAATGGATCGTTTTGCCTTCTCTCTCACTGTTTTTCACAGACTTTGAGAAAAGTTATTTCTGTCATCTACACAGGGGTGCAGGAGGCCAAAGGCTTACGTGCCAACAGAAAGGCTTCTGGGAAGGTTGGTTTATGCTGAAAGCAATATAAAAATGTTTTCCAGAGCATCAGACAAGAGTCTAAAATATTTCCTATATTTTCTTTCTTTCTTTCTTTCTTTCTTTCTTTCTTTCTTTCTTTCTTCTTTCCTTCCTTCCTTCCTTCCTTCCTTCCTTCCTTCTTTCCTTTTTGAGACAGGGCGCCACCATGTAGTTAAGGTTAGTCTTAAACTCACTATGTAGTTTACACTGACCTGGTACTTGTGGTGATCCTCCTGCCTCAGCCCTCCAGGTGCTAGGATTACAGGCATGCGCTACCACACCCAGCATCCTGTGTGGCCCTAACAGCTGCGCGTCCTGCAGGCAGGTCTGGTCACTAAATGCTTTTGTTCAGAAGTTGCAAGAGAGAACAACTTCGCAAAGTTGTATTTGATGGGTTTAAACTTTTAACAGAATCATGAATATGTCTCCGAAAACATTACTTGGGAAGGAAGAGACATGGGCATCCTCCCCTCTGGTTTTGCATATTTACGGGACACCAGACCTGCGACATGCAGTTGTGATACAACAAGAAAGAAAAGAACTGGAGTCTCTGCACAAACCTTGCAGGCTGGTATGTGAGTGACACAGAGGTGTAACAGGTGATCACAGTGGTGGGGCTGTCCCACCTGAGTGGACCACCAGGTGCTAAGAAAACACAGGGATTGGTGTGTAGTGGTGGCTCGGGAGACCATGCCGGGAGTGCTTTGAAAACTAAAACTTAAAAGCTAGATAGGAGTGTAAGAAAAGAGGACAGAAAGGGCAGACACAGAAGAAGTGAGAGCCAGAACAGAACCTAAGCAAAACCTGCACAGCTAAGAAGGACGTGGAGGGTCCTGGCCCCTTAATATACACAGCCAACTCCGTGCCATGCCGGGGCCCCTGAAGAGCTGTTCACACTCACTTCGGAACTGGCCCTGGGCTGGCTTGCTCTCCTTGTCTTTGTGGTAGGCAATAATCTGAACCGTGTAGTTCTGCTCTGGCATAAGACCTTGAATAATTGCTTTCGTGGCAGTGTTTTGGAGATTCAGTTGATTGGTTTTTCCTCCTGGAATAAAATGGAAAAAGAAATCAGTTCTGGGTAACTAGCTGGGCATGGTGTCACACATCTTTGGGAGGCTGAGGCAGGAGGATCACTATAGGTTTGAGTTGTCCTGGGCTACATATTGACTTCAAGGTCAGCCTGCACTACACAAGGAGACAGAGTCTCCAAAAAATAAATAAAAATAAAGTAATGCCAAGTGTCCTTGAAACACGAGCCATTAATTTGTCTTAAACCTGGCTCTTACAGGTGCAGGGGACTTAAGGAGCCACACTTTGCCTGCTTAGCTGGAGTCAAAAAAAGATGTCAATTCTCAAGTCTATCCATCAAATTAGACTGACCCAGAGGCTCCCCTGAAGACACTCCTGATTATATGCAGCCTTTTGCAGAACTCTGTACATACCTTCCTTCCCTGACTTCTGGCAATAGTTACTGCATCTGAGAAAAGTAAATTAGTTTGAAATTCCTGTCCTCCTGGCAGTGACAGAAACAGGGGTCTGAAGATGACAGAATTAATCAATGGAACAGGCTAGCCTTTAATCATGTTGTAATAAAATTAACATCAGAATTTTTGTAGCTATTATCAATGTCTCCCCCACTAAAGCAAAAACAGCCTTTCCCTTGCCACAGCACATTTCCTTAAATTCTGTTCGTGCCCAAGATGCTCAATTTGGCTCCACAAACTTCTTATCCCATTTAAACTCCTCTACTACGAAGGGCAACAAGCAAATCTTTTGTACTGTGTGCTTCACTTTTAAAACTTCTTTAGGAAACCTCTTCCTTAGAATCACACTTGGAGAGACCTAGGGTCCTTATTTTATTGAAGGCTTTGAGAGCCTTGCAATAAAAAAAAGTTTTAAACTCATCAGAACCACCAGTTCTCAAATTTGTTTGACTGGTAAACCACGTGGCAGCAGAGCGGCGCCAACCTCCTGCGAGGGCCACGGGGCTTTCCCTGAGAAGAGCCGGCCTGAGCACGCTGGAGCGGTCTCCTGGCGCTTCGAGCTCTGCGGATGTCTCTGCGGCCCGAGGTAGACTGCGCTTGGATTTAGCCTGTGTAATCAGGTCAACCGCAGAGAGGAGAGACTGTCCCACTGGCTCGGCCACTGCAACAGGGAAACGGGTGAACAAACCCAGTATTCACCAGGACTCGCTCTTGCCCTCTCTTACTCGAAATGCGTATTAGCGCGCTGTGCTTTCCCCTGCACATAGAAAGCACTGGCAGCCCTTTCGACATCATTTTCTTTTTATGTTGAGAGAGGCTCTCATGAGGCTACCCAGACTGCCCTGTCCTGCCTCAGCCTCTCTAGCAGCTGGGATGACAGGTATCCACTGCACCTAGCCAATTAGAATCTTCTTTTAACATAATTATATTAATGGTCAATAAATATATTCAACTTTTGTCTTTCCTGTTTTGATGTAGTACTATTTTCAAAATGTCTACTTAACCTCTTAAGTTTAATGTATTATTGCTGAATAATATTTATCCAGTTAGTTAACTGTAATGCATTCAAGTAGCCACAGCTGTTGGACACCTGGGAGTACTACCTTCTTTTACATGCAGGTGAACCAAAAGTATTTATTTCGTGCTGAAGAGAGACAGAAAGACTTGGTGATAGTCTGGAATTTTCACTTGAAGAGAATGACAACATGGAATTCATGTCACTCTTTATAAGTTGTAGAAACTGATCCCTCGATCAGAGGTTAAGGCTTCAAGCCCAAAGATCAAATAAAATCTTTCAAATGATCCTAAAGCAATATCTGGCAGTACATGTTTTTACTTACCTGAGTATGAAAAGTTGCTGTCAGTTATGGTTGGTGTCTGGATGCCCGCCCCAAGCCTCATGCAGTCTCAGAACTGTTTTGGAGGTGGCTGAATCTAGTATGACTGAGTTGTAGGGCAGTGCTTGGATTAAGGGTGGGTGGTGGCCCGTCAGTCCCCTGATTGGAGTGGCACCACCCCAATCCCAGTAGACTCAATGCAATATAAGGGCCAGGAAGATGTCTCTCCCTCTGCCTTAGAGCCAGCTGATTATGGACTGAAACCTCTACAAACTGTGAGCTACATAAACCTTTCCTCTGTTCATTTTGGGTGTTAAGTGCTTTGTCTCAGCAACAGAAGAAAAGTAACTAAGACACTAATGTTGTAGAAAAGATCCATGCTGTTACCTGATGCTGGAGTCACCAGAAGTTTGTAGCCACCAAACTTGCCCCTCGGAGCTTTCCACGAGATCTGGATGCTGTCCTGAGAGAGCATGTTGTACCTGAGCCTTGTGGGAGCCGGCACTGGAAAGCAAGCACAGCAAGGGCTCAGACAGGCATGCGTCTAAACTGCACGGGCTTGGCCGGCGGTGAAAGCAACAGCACTGAAACACACAAAGCTGCCACAGCGCAGGGAACGCTGAGGCAGGAGGACCGCTACAAGCGCAAGGCCAGCTTGGGCTAAAAGTGAGCTCAAGGCCAGCTTGAACTACATGGCAAAATCCTGTCTCGAAATAAAATGAAATAAAATCAGCCTCAAACTATATTCTTTGCTCAATGACATGGCTGAATTGATCAGTTTGCTAAGACAAAAGTATAAGTATGTGATTTTTACTGAAGGATACCCATTCACCCACTGTACCAAATTTGTGTGTGTGTGTGTGTGTGTGTGTGTGTGTGTACACGTGTGGTATGGGGTATAGAACTTGGGACACTGTGCTTGCCAGGCAGGCGCTTATGCGCTCAGCTGTATCCCAGACCCTCGTACCAACCTTTAATGGAGAAATGACAGGGCGTTAGGAGTCAGTACTCTGACGTGGTTTAATCATCAAGGCCAGTCTTGTGAGATGTTTTTATTAGTAGCAAGAGTGAATTAGCCTACTGGAATATGTTCGCTTTTATGACCTACATTACCAGGACTGTGGCCTGTAGGATTTTCACCATGGGAATCCGGGATTTGTGGAGCTATGTGAAAAGAGTATCACAGGCCAATAGAGAAACAAGATATCCATGTAGAAACAGATGACAAGGTGATGGTAAAGACGCCGAGCGGCAGAGACGCTAGGACTCCAGGGCTGGCTGCTTTACGGCTGTCATAGCCATCAGTCAGGGTCACCATTCAGCCCAGAATCATGGACTTTCTGATAGCTCACAAAACCATATAAATCCCTTTCCTCATGTATAAGTCATCCAAATTTGAAACCCTCTTTCAGGCCACCAGAAGTACTTTAGAAGAATACACTAGCAGGAAGGTTTTGATCATACATCAGCCAAGTCCATGATTACAAAGACAAAGGGAAGTCAGAGACTGATGGAGAAACGTGAACTTTCCACGCCTGGGGCTGAGGCCAGGGGCTGGTGTTCCTGTTGGGTGCCGCGAGCATTGTGCTCTTGGGTGTGAAAGGACAACTGGGCAGAGGCACCTCACTGAAGAGGGGCTTCCGGGTGCAGGACTCCAGAGACCTGGGGGCCTGCGGAGCAGTCCATCGTCCTGCCTCTTGCTCGGTGCAGGGAGATTTCCTGATGAGGGTCTCCTTCCCCTTTTAATTCTTGTCTTTCCAAGAACAGTGCATGTTTTCCCTGTGTGGGGCCCACACTCCTTGGGGGAAGCAGATAGAGGTGCGCAGGCCTGCCTCCGTTTCACCTGCTCCTCCCTTCCTCCGTTTGCAGATTCATCTCTGGTTTCCTTTTGTCCTTTATTTATACTTTGTGTTTCTTAAGAAAAACCATGTGATGTTTGAGCTTGCATCTGATTTATTTTGCTTAACATGATAGTCTCAGTGCATCTGCTTTTCTCTAAATGACCCAAGTTTATCCTTGTCTGTGACAGAGTACAACTCTACAGGAAGTCGCAGCTGTGCATCTCAAAGGCTTTACGCCTGGCGGGCGCCTGTGATCCCAGCACTCAGGAGGCTGAGGCAGGAGGATAGCTGTGAGGTTGAGGCCAGCCTGAGCTGCATAGAGAGACCCATCTCAAAAAAAAAAAAAAAAGCCTGTTTCCCTGTTTGGGTCAGAGCAGCAAGGCAGCACAACTGACAAGAAGACTGGAAGTGCTGCAGAGAAATAGCTGCTGCTCTGATCCTTCAGCACCGATGCCGTGTGCTCCTCGCAGGCCCAAGGCTATGCTTTTCCTGAGCACAGGGAGCACTCCTGCTCCTCGCCGCACTTCACACCCGGGTGTAATCATGAAGACCTGCACACACTTGACTCAACAGTCAGTCAGCTCGAATCCTGATCTTTTCCCCAAACCAGTCAGGTGTGACCCTGACACCTGGCACACACCAAGAATCCAGGAGCAGGTGGCCGGGCTCCCTCTGGGAGCTGGGGCCCCCAGGTGGCAGGAGGGGGCCTGCTGTCCACTCCCTTGTGCTGGGGCGGGGCCTGGGGTGGAGCAGAACATCCCCCCACGGCCTGTGCTTCACTGTGTCCACTCCTGTGGGCAAAGACATTTTAACGCCTCCCACAGAAGCCCCGCTGTTATGAAACATACTTGTAATCTGGCTGGTTTTCTATAGTTTCTCCTCCTTTCTGTTCTCTCTCCCTGCTTATCTTTCTCTTCTCTTCCTCTCGTGTGTGTGTGTGTGTGTGTGTGTGTGTGTGTGTGTGTGTGTTTTGAGACAGGGTCTCGCTGTCCTAGAACTCACTATGTAACCAAGGCTGTTCTCGAACTCACAGTAATCCTGCCTCAGCCTCCTGGGTGCTGGGCACAGGCGCGCAACACCACGGAGGTAGAAACATCTATTTCTGATGCAACATTCTCCTTCAGGTGTAGAAGTGCTGCTTGCTGCCTGGGGGTGCAGCAGTGGAAGCCTTTTGTCCCCCACTACCCACTGCTGGGAGCCCGCCCCCCCCCCAGCAGCAGCCTGGTGGCTCCAGGCAGCACTCCACTCCCCAGGGCAGGAGTAGGGCTGCACCATCTGCGCTACCCGGCCGAGGAGCCCTCACAGGCTCAGGTGGCGGCCGAGAAGCTGGCTCCCACAGCCTCACTGGGAAGCGTGCTCTGTGGGCCGCGGGCACTGAGCCTCTGCAGATCACGGAGGCCTCTAGCTGCCTGTCCTTTTCAGGCTTGGTTATTATTTAATTTTTATTTTGGTGGTGTGAACTGCTGCGGTGCCTGCTAATAAGCACATTTTTGCCAAAGTTGTCCAGAGAAAGCTCCTTTCATGCGCAACCCTGTGCCCTTAGTGGTGGAGATATGTGACAGAGGTCACAACAGGGGCACTTCTCTCTTAGAACCGTAGTCCAGGGTGCCAGCTGAAGGCACAACTCAAGTATTTATTTTTAAAGACCTTCAAACAGCAGAAAAATATTTGACTGCTTTTCTAAGTAATCTACCAAAACAAAACCAAAAAATCAGCTTTTTATGCCACTTATTTTTATTTAAATGTATTACCCAGATGTTTTATAGAGAATGATTAAAGTTTGAGAACTGTTTACTGTAGGTAGGACACACTAAAAGGGGCTTTTAATCTTGCTTAGAATCTAGTATGTTCTAATACCATAATCTGATATAAACATGCTGAAAACAGCACTAAGGAAAAATATTCTCAATGCCCAACTATGCGCAATTGCTAAGAATAGCAAAAATACGCATAAATGCTTTGACACAGGGTCATTATGAAGCTAAGTCCCGCCCACGCAAGGCACCATGTCACGGGCCTTGGGGCCTTTGAACGGCGGGTACCTTCCTGCCAGCGACTGCTTCCGTAACACACAGAACAGCCACCACCAGAACCAAGGGCACCTTCGCTGTGAAGTTCTGAAGCGCCGGCAGCACCTCCCCTCACTGCTATCCATGTTCCTTTTGGCCAACACATTACTCTTCTCTACCTCCCAATTCATTTCTCAACTTGTCATATGAAAAATGCTGGAAAAATGCTCAATATCTCTGGCTGACAGAGAAAAGCAAATTGAAACAACACTCAGACTCCATCCTACTCTGGAAAGAAAAGCATCATCAAGAAATCAACCACTGGCAGGTATGTGGGCACACCTGTCTTCCCCGCAGTCAGGAGGCTGGGGCAGGGGGTTGCTGGGAGGGTGAGCCCAGCCTGGGCTACAGAGTAAGACCATGTGGAGAGAGAGAGAGAGAGAGAGAGAGAAAGAGAGAGAGAGAGAGAGAGAGAGAGAGAGAGAGAGAGAGAGAAAGAAATCAAGCATTAACAAACGCTGCACATGCTGCACCGTTAGTGAGAGCGTAAGCTAGCACAATCACAGGCCTCTGAAAGAGTCTCCTCCCAATGTTTAAACTCGGGACTCCGATGACCCCTGCTAGGAGCCCTCCTGCAGGAGTTAAAGCAGTGTCCCACAGGGATCTGGGCCCACTCGTGTGTTTACAGCAGCACGACTCACAAGGACTAAGTGTGGGCGCGGCCTCTTCGCCCAGCAGCTGAGCCGACAAGGGGTCGGGGTCCTACGCACAGCGGAGCCTCCCCGCCTCCCGGAAGGATGAACGTGCGTCATCCACGCGCCTTGAGATCCTGACGCTAAGTGAAACAGATCAGACCCCCCAGCCTCGGTAGTGGATGTCTTCTCTTATATGAGAAACTTGGTGTATAAGTAAATTAAAGAGCAAAATAAGGGCTAGAGAGAGAGCTCAGGGAACTCAGCGCCTGCTTAGGCAAGCACAGGGACCGGGATTCGATCCCCAGCACCACATGCCGCACTGGTCCTGCCCCCGGGTGCACTGAGCCGGCGCCTGAGACTGCACGTGGTGGAGCGCGCCTGTAAGGCCAGCACTGAGGAGGCTGAGACAGGAGGATCACCATGAACCAGAGCAGGGAGATGGGTCTTTTACAAAAGGGAAGGGGATTTGGAGATAAAGCGAGGGAAGAGGAATGCAGCTCAGTCGAGTCCGCCCACCTGGCACCGTCACTGTGTGCTGCGAGCTTGGAATAACAAACATTTTTCATAGATGATGCTGGAACATCTGGGAATGAACAAGCGCTCCAGCCGGTGTGGGTTCGGAATCTCTGGGAAGGCCAACTTCCTGTACAGAGTACTAGGTGGAGAAGCTGAGTGACACAGCGCAGTCCCTTGCTTAGTAATTTAGGGGAGGAGCACTGATTTCCTCTGTATGTTTTAATATTAGCCGCGCTAATTCTCATTGCTGGCCTATAATCAAAGTACAGATACAGCTCGAAACAGCAGAAACACCAAGTCTGAACCGAGAGTCCTGGGCTAAGATCTGGTGCTGGTGCGGCTGGGTTCCTCCCTCGGGGTTCTCAGGGCTCCCCATTTCCTGTATCCCCTGCTTCTAAGCGTGCACACACTCCTGACTTTGGTCCCGTCCATCTGTGAAGCCAGCAGCAGCCACCACACCTGTCTTTTGCTGGCCATCAAAGGTTGGCCCGTCTGCCCCTCTCCCGTGGTTATATTGGGGCCGCCCACCTGACCCCACTGTTGAAGGGTTATTCGTTACTCTGCCTACCACACTGTTTTCCTTTTCACTCCTTTGTTCATAAACACGGCTTTTAAGACAGGACTTTGCAAGCCTCAAGATCACTTTCAAAGCAGGAGTCCTGTGCCATAAAGCAATTCATACCTCTGTTTCTATCTCAGAATCGATCGCTTCAACAGGGGCGCCGAGAAGTAAGAAGCGTCTGCCCGCAGGCCTTGCCGATTTTCCCAAACGCCAAGCCAGCGAGAGCTGGAGTCTCCCTTGTCTTCAAGATGTCCTGCTTGCAGCCTTGCCTGCTCCTCACCATCCTCTGCACCCTGCACCGCCAGCCCCCCTACACTTTCTGACACCAGTCTAGTTGCATCTGTCTGGGGCGTCACTTCCATCCTCACGTGTTTCTTCTACTAACCCTTCGCTGCTGGTATCCTAGAGACCCATCCCACTTCCACAGGAGAGAATCCTATCCTAGCCCCACCTCTAGGGCCTCTCAGCTCGGTCACCTCTTCTGCTCAGCTCCCGCACCCCACCAGCTCCTCCCCAGCTCCAGGTGGACGCCCCCAGGCACCTCACTCCTCAAGGACGTGTCTAAGGCTGAACTGTTACCCCCGCTTTATGCGCATTTGCCAATCTATGAATTTCTTCAACAGGGCCTCCTGCAGGGGCAGGATCACTGCATGAAGACAGAACCAAGGCAAACAAACACCCCTAGGAAACACAGGAGTGGTCACAGGGCAAGGTGCAGACTGGGACCCCGTCCCCGCTGGGCTCCACGAGGCAGCGGCAGTGACTTTCAGGATTCTGTCTTGCCCCGGCTCCCTGTAGAGCATGCCTCGAGCTCTGCGCCTTCCAGTAACTCTTAGGTTAATTCTCTTCTCTATGATAACACAACCTACTTCGGTTCTCAACACCTATTTCCTGAACAGTTCATTAGCTTTTAAAGCCTAACTTGCCTTGCTGCCATCCCTCTCTAAAGCTCAAATCCATCACCAACAAAAGCAGTATCGTCAATAAGTTTATTGAGGTGTTCTTGTAAAAATAAAAATAAAAAGTTTCTTTAAAGTCTTCCGTAGTCGGACTTGCATGGGCTTTACCATCCTTATCTTTTGCCACAACCCCACATAATTCATTTTTTTTCTCAATTTAGCAATGTTGTTGATAAAAGCCAGTACAGATTCATGAGAAACTATATATAAAATTCAAACTACATAAAAAAAAATTTCATTGGTAGAACAGTAGTCCATAATTCATATTTTGATTTATTTTTCTATTCTCTCTAGTGGAGAGCAAGCTGCTTGAAGGCAATAATAATAATAATAATAATAATCTTATTCAGTTTGTATCTTGACCTGGACACACAAAATGCACCCCATCAAGTTTTTGGGGTTGTTTTGTTTTTGTCTTTTTAAGACAGGGTCACACTATGCAGTTTAGGTGGATCTTGAGTTCAGTTTGTAGCATCAGCTGGTCTCGAACCCACAACAATCTTCCTGCTTCAGCCTCTCTAATGCTGGGGTTACAGACTTGAGCCACAATGCCCACCTTTAAGTGTTCATTTAAAACAACTGGTAGACTGGGCATGGTGGTGCACGCCTGTAATCCCAGCGCCTGGGAGGCTGCAAACAGGATCTGTGTAGTGAGACCCGATAGACCCGTACTAAGTCAAAAAAAAAAAAAAACTGACTAGCTAGGCACATCTGCGGGACAGCAGCCATGGAGAATCCAGGAAGAGCCCTGTGGTCGGTCATCACAGGATGGGCCATTCCCAGTTGAGCCGAGTTGCACACAGCACTGTGGCTCTGTGGCTTGACCCCTTGTTCATCAGGACCTGCATCTCACACCCTGTGTTTAGAAAGAGCCATCTAAGATTCCCGTTACTGCTTCTCCAGCTGTCACCGCTGAAAATAGTGTTCCCCCAGTGTAAACAAGAGAAGCAAAGTTTGTCTGCCAGCTTGTTGTGCGTTCAGTGAGATAGCTGGGAATATGGTCGTGACTGTTATTTTGTCTCCAGCCCTTGAGCGCGGCAAGATTTCCGTGTGTGTCAAGCGATGTCACGTTACATGCTGGGCATACTTACGTTGGGAGCTAGGGAGGATTTCTGCGAAGGGAAACCGATTGCTTTTGAGGAAAACACACATCTGTGTCATCTCAATGCCACTTTCCCATTGTAGAATGAAAGGAACCATAAATAATGGGCATAAAAAATGCATGGCTGTGTTTCAATAAAATTTTATGTATAAAAGCAGGCAGTGGGTGGAAGTGTCTATGGATAGTAGTTTTTCAACTGCAAATGTCATGTATAGAACAAATGAAATCAAATACAGAAGTACAGATCCAAATGACACACAACAGAGATTTCACAAAGTTCAGGAAATTGAAGTCATTTAACCATACTTAAAGTGGGAAGTCAGAAGCTTTCTTCGTACTCTTAACCTTTAGAACATGTGCTCAGTTTTTAAACAAAGATGTGAATTGAAGGAGCAGGGATGAAGTAGTCAAAGCGTTCAGTAGACTCTGTGAGAATCCAGGCATGATCGGAATAGAGCGCATACCTGTCACAGCTCCCTGCCCAGGGCACTGATGTCATAACATGCAAATTGGATTTTCACTGAGGAAACGCATGGAGTCTTTCCAGGAGGAATGTTTCGCCCACACCACAGAATGCCTGTGCTCAGCCCTGGTGAGATGTCGGCGCACACTTCCACAGAGCAAACGGTTGGCAAAACAGTGTGAAAACCAATGTATTCCCCTGCGTAGTAACACAGCTGGGAACACACTGCACATTAGGACGCATCTTTAAAAAATGATACAGTGATCAGAATCAAGATGGCTAAGCTCCTAAGTCTTTAAAGTTGTCAATTACCTTGACCCTGGACCACAGTGCAGAAATAAACCACGGCCAGCAGAGCTGGAATCAGCCAGTACCGCATCTT